GGACCGTCTATGCGTATAATATGTACATACGAAAGCAGGGCCCTGAACCGATGCTGCTACTGCTGTTGGGGTGACGTCATATCTAATGGCCTGCAAGTAAAAAGACGGTTTCTGCGTGCGAGATAGGGACACGAGATTGCTTTGGCTCCCTTCTTTTACTCCCGTTTAATGCGATTATGTGCGACTAGCTTGAACGCGTTGGTACGTGGGTCGTACATTGTTATCTGGGCTCTATGAGCTCCCACCGTGTATGTTGTCTATCTGCGAGGGTATATCCACATATGTACAGAAGTTTGGTACTTTAGATAGAAAGAAGGCCGAAGACGCTTGGCCTTATTTATGTCGATGTTCATATTGTTTCTACGTTGGTTCTCGTTCCGTTTGGTCCCTCGTACTGATACCATGAAAGAAAATGTTGCACGTAAACGATAGCCATAGGGAGTCATTTGTGATGATAAGGTTCTCTTTGATTCTCCTTATGTGTACGTATTGAGTATAAGGGAATCGGTTCCTTTTGAATGTCCATCCTCAAATTTATCCTCACATGGCTTTAAAAGATTTCCCAGCATCCAGCTGTATGACATTATCGTGCATGTTTTGCTATAGCTCCCATTTGTGTGCTGCTTCTGAGCTATCTGACATTTTAAAATAAAACGGTGCATGGCAATCGTCATTGAATGCAACTATTCGATCTAAAGTCAATTTTTGTATCGATAGAAAAAAAAGAGTCTCGAAAGGGCTTTGTTGTTTATACAAGTCAAACACATCACACAGATCGTTTGATGAAAAGAGAGCGGTATTTTTTTTTTCGCTTGCACGTACGAGCACGATCTTCTTTTCTGAGCTTAGGCATTTATATGTACCCAAACACAATGGATCCCAGATCTGTTTCAAAGCAAGTCGAATGTATCTGTAAAAAAGTGTATCCCTTTTCCTCTAAAACCTGATGGTTCCTGACTTCAATTCGTAAACTGTTGGCATAAAGCAGTACGCGCTTGTAATTTGCAATGGTTTCTTTCATGTGAAACGCACAAAAAAATCTTTTGATACCTTTTTTATTATTTTTGTCGAAGCTTACGCATCTCTGAGATATTTTAAAATCTTTTGCCTGACTATCAAACTTTTCACATCCCTGCATCAGTTGGGTTTTGAGTACAGGCTCAATAATATTATAAACTAGTAGGTGGGATACCACAAAAAAATCATTACTTCTGCTTACAGTGATAAAAAAAAACGCAAATATTGAATAAAAAGAGGAAAAAATAAACAACCAGTAAGTCTACTTCACAAGATAAGATGTCTATTAACACGGGAGAAATTTTTGTAATGATAATTTTATGAGATAAGGCAACACGTATTAAGTGAATCAGTGAAAATCATTATTCTAATGTTAAATGATATTTTGTTACCTTTAAAAGTGGATTAAATAACAATTACATCTTATATTTGTAGTAAATTCATGGTTAAAAATGTATTTGTAAAGTAAAGAGTTCTACAAATCTTAATAAGAACGCTAAGGTAAAATTTTTGATAATTTTTATTTAATGACAATAATTAAAACAAGTCATATAACTAGTATAAAATTTGTTTCACGTTTTCCTTTCTCCATCACGATGATAACTTTGTTCTTATTTTTACGTCCACTTTAGATTAATGTAGGTGCTCATGGCACGATATTCTTCACGTGAAGTAAATATCATAAAAACATGATTAAACATTTTTTGGATGACCTAAAAAAAATTGATCGAGCGTTGTAAAGATTAGTAATAATGAATGCTCATGATTTCATGTCTTCGATGTAAAACAGCTCTCAAACTATTCTGTTTTTATACATCTAAACTTTCAATCTCAATATTCATTAAGTTCTATCAACTGAAAATATTTATTAAAGATAAAATGACAATTTAAATTTTATGACAAAAATAAAAAAAAAAAACAACTAATAGATTTTAGATGCAGTTGGAACAATTTCCATATTAATCACTTCATTCTTACGGAACCAAATTTCATAAAGGTACACCAAAACTACACTGACGACAAAATAACATTTTCAAACAATCAAAAAAATGTTATTTCAGGAATAAAGTAGGAGAATTCAGGGCTCAAAAAAATTTATAGACTCCTTAGGTATCACATTTCGTTCTTTGTATCATTTAGCACATGCATCCCACGAAAATTTTACTCATCTGAACATTGTGTGTCCCAAGATGCGAAAATACTCCCACGAAAAAGGAGAAGCGGGAGACATTCAATATGGTGCAGTTCTGACATTTGTTGGATTCCCTTGGAACTTTCCTGTGATGCAACCAAATGCTCTCATCTTTGTCTCTAAAGGCGCCAGATGTTGCACCTTGCAAACGGACCGTGGAGAGTTGAAAGAAGACAAAAACAACAGAGTAAGTGCCTTTTCTTCAGAATAACGTGTGGATATTTGGAGGTAATAATAATTTATCAAACACGACGTGGACAGAAAAAAATTTTGTACACTATAATTAACTTCATTATGCTTGTTAGAAAGTGTTAAGATGCTTTGTTAACGTACAAGTTGAGGCTTAAACAAACAGTTATATAATATTGAGGATATATTTTACTCTAAAAGGTAGCCCAGTCTCTAAGTGTAAATGTCATAGTGAACAGTAATTATTTTTGTGTAACTTCCACTGTAAAGTCCTCTTAATACAAGAATAGAAGTAAAATTAAATGAATGAGAGGAAGAAACTCTTACACAACGAACCAGTTTCACTTAGTAAATATTACGGCCGAAACCAAAAGAAAAAATAAAAAGGAATATATGTATAAATGTGCCAGTGCTCTTGCGACACGAAAGCTACATGCAGATGTGAATGTAGGCCGCGGATATTTTCATGTCACTTTATATTTACTGTTCTTTTATTCACTTGCTCGTTACATCTCCTTCGTACTCATTCTGGTGCATATCCTTTTATATGCACGTATATGTGCATGAACCAGTTACGAAATACACATTTTTAGTATAAAAATATTTCTTATTGACCACACGGCTACTGTAATAGTAAATTGTTAGTGTGTATCACCACTTACTTCTGGAACGTAAAGTAAGATCTTCTTAACAATGTATTTATAAATCGCTGATTAAGGGATGTAATAAAAGCTGTATGCCAAGATAAAACTACGACCTCGTGGCTTTTAAGCCAGCCTTAGTCGAGAAAAGTTATACATAGGAGTTTTTCGGGTCAGCTTTTTATAGCGACGGAAAGCTCATTCGGAGGACTCATTAAAGTTGCAAGATTTTAATTTCATTCACTTTTTTTTACCCCACGAAGGACTTGCAGGGTCAGGTATATTGTGTGCACTTTACTAATGATATTTTTAATTTCAAACTGACTTTTTGACACAGATTTAATTTTGAGATTTTTTTAATGCTCTTTTATCACTGATAAGTAGTTATCATTACATTCTTATGGTGGAAATTGGAATAACGTATAATCCGACAGCAAAGTATAACCTTGATTGAAAAAAAGGAATAGTCGACATTATTTGTCTCGATAAGAAATACATTTCACAACCAATTTCAATTCGTTGCACGCTCCAAGCTGTAAATAATAGGTCAAATAATTTTATCTTGGATATTCGGGTATCATTTCTTATTTTCAACACATTTACAGGAGACCCACAATCAGTTGTAAGGTTTAAGAACTTACATTCCACTTTAGAGACAATGAAGATTACTATTTAAATGTTTATTCGTCAAATTTTTTGTTTTATTCTGTTAGGTATACCATATTACATAAGTAGTTTAGAGTAAATTCATTGAAAGTAATTTGTATTTTCCTATTTAGATGCTTCCATCTAGTAGGGCACTTCTATTACATAAATAATAACTACAACATTTAGGGTTTTGAATAGTATAAAACGTGAAAAGAATATTTTTAAACTAAGCGATAGGTATACTTTTAGCAAATTTACTATTTCTTTTAGCTCAAACCATTCCAAATTATCTCAGGGTTGTTAAACATAAGTAGCATTTGCCACATGATTGTAACGATATGATGTATGTTTTCCATCTTAAGTCAGTAACAAATTTTCATCATTAACAAAAAATATTATTCTTTGACTCTGCCACCAAAGTTTTTTGATAATCATTGGAAGTAACATCATAAAAACAAAAAATGACAGTCATATCTAATGCTAGAACAAGCCAAAACAGACAACACTTTTTGGGTACTATTTATCTTACAGTACTTCGTAAACAAAGGGATTCAAGTCAAGGCCACATCCACTACCTCGTCCACCATCACCACCATTACCCGTGCCCTATGCACCCACACGCGCTCTTCCTCAACCACGTTCACATATCTATACGTACCAACAAACACAGCTAGTATATGGGCATCGATTGCATACGCGACCAGGCAAAACTCAGGCTTGTATATATGCATCATTCCTATCTTTCTCTCTTTCTCTTCCATCCCGAATTGGAAAAGCCCCGTAGTCGTCGTAGTGAAAAACATCAACCCCCATAATACTTACAGACAGCTGGCGCAGCACACAGCATCGGCAGTAGGCGTCCTTTTGTATACGCATCTACGTCGTTGTCGTCGTTGCAGTGTCCAGGGAGAGAGAGGGGGTGGGTTGGCAGCCTCCTTGTTGCCGGTGTCGTCAGCGTAGTCGCGGAAAGAGAGAAAAAAAAATCGAAGCCCGTAGACGCTTGCTCTTACACAAGTACGCACAACCTTATACCTACTCCCTCGCTAGCAGGCGAAAAGTCATACCTGCCGTAGATCCCTGGCATGAGAGTCACTGGTGTGCGCGCTTCCCCTCCACTTGCTCTATCCACTACACACATATACCATGCGCTACAGAACTATACAAGCTATACACTGCGGTGCTTGCGCGCGGCGCGCGCCTCGGTGACGACGACGCGCTCTCCTCGCGTTGTCCGCCACCGCGGCTGATTCTCTGAACTCCCATCTTTCTCGGGAGCGGTGGTGGCGCTGCCCCGACAGTCGCCGATCGACGCGCATCGCAGTAACACGCGCGCGCCACCCCGTCGTAATTATCGACTATTTTCGTGATACATATATCTGTCATCTTGTCTCTTACACTTTCTTTCTTTTGTCTTTTAGTGTGCTATTGTAATGTTTGTTATTACTGTGAATTTCATACTGAGTTAACTGGAATCGTTGTGAATGTCAGGTGCAGAAATACAGGTCCTATAGTGTGTACTACGTAGTAGTAGTATAGTAGCCGCTCGTGTTGTTCTCTGCTGCAGTTTGGTTTTGTTGTTTTTATTGGTGCCTGGTGGTGCACGGGCGTGTATGTAATATATACGCTTCACACGGCTACTGTCCACTGACCCTTTTGTCTTCTCTCAGGGGAACTCGAGAGTAAGAGCACAGGAGGAGGGAAGAGGAAGAGGAGCGTGCAAGGGCACATAAACGTGACCTAACCCTAACCTTAGTGGAAAAAAAAAAGAAGAGAAGGATATGCGAGATAAAAAGTATCAGTAGACGTACTCGTACGCGAAGCAGTAGTGTTGTTTCGTTGTATGTTTGTTTGTTTTGTTGTTTAAGTTTGTTTTTTTTTGGTCTGGGCAAAGTTCAGTTAAAATAATAAAATATATATACGTATTTAAAGTGCTAATGTGAAAAATGGACGTGAAAGAGGACACTCGCCTCTTTTGTTTCTTCGAATAATTCTTTTTAAACATCAAAAAGTCATGGTGGTGGTTGTCTTACTGAAAGTGAAATTTGTCGCTGATGACAAGTGCGTGAGTTTTTTCGGTGCCAGTGACAACACTTATTGAACGTGAGTGCGAGACGTCAGCAAGATAAACGGTGCGAATAATCGTTACCAAGATCCTGTGCATTATCCTTTTTCCATCTCACCTTGAAGCAACGCACATAGGCAAGGTGAGAGTTGAAAAGAATTTTTTAACTTGTTAGTTGCATGTGGCGTATATATGTATGTCATGTGTATGTCTTAAAGCGTAATAATCACTTTGAACCCTGAGATGAATAAATTGAAAATGGAAAAAGCAAAAAACACAGAAGGGAAGCCAAGGACGAGAGAGTAAGTAAAAAAGAGAGGTACGATAATGCTTATGCGTGGGCGGGATGAGTCTATGAAGACGATCAAAGGGAACCGACGACACGTGCTACGTAGCCTCGTCTCGATTGTCCATTTTGCTCTACATCATTCTCGTACAATATGTTGCCTATTCTGCTTCCTTTTTCTTGAGATTTTTCTTTTAGACAGATTGGGCTAGTCTTTCTTTATACTATTTCTATGGTTGGACAATTTTTTTCAGAAGATGAAGCTGAAACTAGCAGACAAATTCCAGTAGCGATACCGTCAAATAACAAATTCTACTTGGGCTACCCTTAAAACTAGACCACGTACCTTCTTAATTTAGTAAAATAAAGGGGTACCTGTCGAATTTGTTATTTGATGGTATCACTGCTGGAATTTATCTACTAGTTTCAGCTTCATTTTCAGAATAAAATCATTCAGTCTGTACTAAAAGTCAATTTAGGCTCGAACGTGCTTTTATGTGAGTATGCGGTGAATAATAGAAATCGATTCTCACTGTACTTAATCTATGCTCCTTTCAAACGAGCGTCAATGCATACAGCTGCTGTAAAAGAGATGATCAAAAGAGCGTTCCATCATTCCTCATTATTGTGCACAACTTTAAGTATTAGCAGTTTTCAGTTATTCCAAATTTTTTAACGAGTTGAAATGTGAATATGATGGAAGTTGTTGCCTATTCGATATATTATGTGGTGTCGATTTTATTTTAAAAAATCTATAAAACTGGGAGAAAAACTTAAAAAGAAAATGAGTTTTTAAAGTATTTTTTGTGTGTTTTTCAAACAAAATTTAATAGAAAATCACAGAGTATTATTTATGTTGTGTACCAGAGCATGTCAAAATAACGTATGCATACGAACATTTGCTAGAACTGTCCGTAAGATATACTTTTAATTTATCAATATTTGAAGATATGATGAAGGATCGCACATCTTGATTACTACATGTTGTGTTATATTTATAAGTAGATTCAATAGTATGCAGTCTATAGAACCTGAAAATGCTGCTTCTTTTCTAGTACCACAGTCTAGATTTTTTTAAAGTACTATGCACATTGATTTTAAAAAAATAAGTAAACAAGTTGGGTTGATATTAAAAAGAGCGTTTATTATGTTCACCGCAGATTGTTTGCATCATCAATTGGAATAGGGGTAAACGCACCATCTACCGTACACCCGTAAATTCACTTTATTTTGTTACCATGATTGTAAGACAGTTTGATACTAAATATTGACTCAGTAAATTTTAAATTGTTATTTAGGATCTCAAGAGAGCACCGAAATTTTTTTGAGGTGTTAGAGCTTGTTAAAATGATTTTATAATAAAAATATGAAATAGAAGTCATGTTCCTATTTCCGTACCGCCGTTCTCATTACCGGACCCCATCTACCGTACGCGTTCCTATTACCGGACCCCATTCACCGTTTGACGACAGATTTGACTATAACCTCACATTTTTGTTTACAACTGCATATCGATCTCAGTGCCTGCTACATAAATCACGATGAAAATGTCAAAAGCAGAGAAAGATGGAAAAT